GCTTTCTAGAGTTCTGCAGACTAGCTTTTGCTCCTCCCTGCTTCCCACTGAATCTTGCACCCCAAGTTGATGTGACTCAGGAGTTAAATCCTGCTGGAAATCTGGAACTCAAGCCTTGATCTACCTTAACATGAACTATTTAGCTCCTATTGTTCCACCCTTGCGCGACCCCAATTAAGGCAATTACAGAACCCAGTACTTTCAGAGTCTTTAAAGCCAAATGATAAAAGGTTTATTCCTTAGATCTGTGGTAGTTTGGAATCTTCATTTTCATGGAGTTGATGAACACTAAGTATTTACTCTCTTCACATATGTTACAAAAAAATTGTATGACCTCAATCTCCCATATCTTCTAAAAGACTTATGTGCATATTTTCACTAGATCATAGACCCACGATCTAAAATGGGCATTGAAATTTTTATTTTAAGACCTAGAAGGTGCTGTGTAACCAAATTCTCCTAAATTGTAAGATGGAGTTTACACACCAAGGTAGAAGGACCTGTGGACAATACGCCCATAGGAGTCAACTCAGGTGGATACGCGATTGCTGTGCTGGCTGGACCATTTCTGCTCTAAGTCACACCAGGTGAGGTTGAGAAGACGAGGGGCTGATTTAGCAGCTGTTAGTTGTTACCAAATACTGTATGAGCACTAGATTTCAAAAAACTTTGAAATATATATATATGTGTATACATACACACATATATACATATACACACATACACATATATATACATATACACATATATATACATATACATGTATATACATATGTGTGTGTGTATATATATATATATATACATAGTGAGTGTGTATATATATTTGCACAAAAAGTAAACCAGATAGACGGTTGCATCTCTTAAAGAAATTACAACAGCACTTTAAAATTTTTAAAACTACATTGCCCACAGCATTTAAAATATAGCGTAGGTATTTTTAGACAGCTTTATGAAGTTTTTGAAAAAATAAAACTACACGCAGAAGACCTAATGGTTTGATTTACAGTGCCGATTTTAAAATTGTATTTTCAGAGTTCCAGCAACCAATACATCCCCTCACCCCTGGAGTCCCACGTGTCCTTTCCTAGGTAACCTCATGCTGGGAAAGAACATAAGGACTGGAGCTGCAAGATCAACTCCATATTCTATGCCTACTCCTTCTCCTACCCTGACAGGAAGAAATCATGGTGCCTGAGTTTCTGTAAACAGGAGGCTCTTGCTCAATGCTCTGGGGAATGCAAACCCCAAGTCCTGGCAGAGGGGAAATCTCCTCCCACTTTCTAAAACGAGACAGTAGGGTCTAGTGTGAACCGTGGAGTTCAGTGGCGTGAGCCTGAATGGTCACAGTGTGGCTACATCAAATCAAAACACACAGGCAATTTGGGTACATGTCCCCTGCCAGTTTTGGATGGAAATGAGAGTCGGAGGAAAGACCCCGAGAGCTCCAAACTTTCACCCTCCAGGTCACTGGTCGCCTCTCTAGGACCCCAGGGACAAACTACTCCTCTCTGTGATGTGGGATTCGCTTGCAGAGACAACGCATTTGTTTAGCCTTACACATGAATGAAGAGCATATGGAGAAGTAAACCCCACTGACCACTGCTTCCCCGAGTGACTTCTCTTCCACGCCCCTCATAGAAAGCCCTACAAAGGAAAAATCAATCTTCTCAGCTTTAAACCTGCCTTCTGTCCTCGTCAGATGTTGCCAAGCACGAAGCGTTACGGGGGCTCCTATCACAAAGCAAACAGAGCTGGAGCAGCCGGAAGGAGAGCTGCTCTCTAAAAGCTTTTAAACATGTTGTATTTTTAAAACCACTTACTGAAGAGGTGAGTTATTTTCTACTCCTCCTTCCCCAGAAGCACAGACATTAAGGTTACCTAGAAACCTGTCCAGGAAGCATGTGGCAAATAACAACCATGCAATGGGAACATCCGGATTTGTCATCTAATAGGAGATGGTATCAGCAAGGTCATTTTTGGTTAGATGTGGAAGATGAAACATCATTAGCTTGCATGCCCTGGCTATTGGGGGGGGGGTGAGGGCATTCCCATGTCCTCTGGGGGAAGGAGACTTTGCTTTTATCTTGGCTGGGAGGGCCTTTGTTTGGTACAAGTTGGAAATGAGTAAGATCCGAGATCGATGCTTCTCATACTGAAGACTGCCCATGGGAGGAACAGCAGAGGGAGAATACAGATGAGATGGGATCACCTCTACCCTGGAAGAACAGCTCATCTGTAGGATGCATGAGATAGGATGGACACAGAAAATGACCTGAGAACAAAATTGGTTTTTTAAGTTACAGAAGCAAAATAATATTCCATGAAGGACAAGAGGGGGGACAGGAAGCCTTTTTAGTAAAGGTAGTTTTAAATCAAGTCTCGAGAGACAGTGAGAACAGCGAAGAAGATGGGCGAGAAGGGATGGGATGGCGGCATGGTTCTGTTAGTGAGTCACGTGCGCTGAGGACATGGATGCAGTGCTGTTTACTTTGATATTTTATTTCCATTATTGTAGGAAAGGGAAGGAGAGATGACTCCTCTTTATTTTTATAACTTTAGCTGCAGACTTTCTTTAAAAAGCCTTCATTTCATGAAGGCAGTGTTGCTGTTTCCAAAGAGCTTATTCCTAATGCATATTTCCAACCAACACCCTCTCTGTGTCAGATGAGGTGATAACGTTTGTAATTACAGAGAAGCAGAAAAGTGTGACTCACCTGTTTCACCACAGAGACTTTGCTGCAGACGCGGGGCTTGGGGAGATCCAGCTGGCGTGAAAAAAGCAGCAGGAGCAATGGGCCGCTGGGAAAATGGTCTAGGGATCTTTGCTGTACCTTGTTCCCTTTTGCTTTACCCCAGAATAGATCCTTTTTTCCAGTTCATCATAAAGAAGGGGAACTAGTGAAACTCAGGACTTCTGGAAGTGAAGCTATCTGCAAACTTATTCTGAGGAATCCATGCAAACCCACAGGGCCAGCTATGGGACAATTCCTGGCCTTTCCACATTGACTTCTTTCCATTCAGTGGTCATCGGCTTTATCAGGGGCATCAGGGTTTCTGGGTAAGTCAGTAAGACATGGCCGAAGGGACTTGAGAAACCACAAAAAATTTGACACTAAAAATGCAGGCAGGAAATCTCTACATGCAAACAATCCTCAGGAAAGGGAGAGGCGTGCGTCATAAAAGTCTGGCTGACATTCTATAACTCCTCTCAAATTACATGCAGCCAGTGCTGTCGGCCTGACAATGTTGAGCAATATTCCAACCATTCTCCTGTCACGTATGCTTCATGAACGCTGGGCTCACCAGGCAGGAGCACCCAGGCGTCAAAACATTTGCCTGAGCGCTGAGGAATGCAGCCATGGTCTTCCTGGTGAGGCCTCAACTGTAGGAGGCACCTGACCTCCGCTCCTCTGAAAATGGAATGAGGCACTTGACAGAGCTGTACCTTGTCCTCCCCAGTCACCTGGAGTTTTAAGGTATGAGTTGGAAGTTGAAATATTTTTTGGCCCTTCTGACATACCATGACCTCAGGAAATTCAGTTAAGCTTTCTGCAATTTTTTGTTACCCCGTCGCTAAAATGATGTGAATTCACGCTACCTATTCAGCGGATATTAAAATGCAGTAGACCCAAGCATTGTTCTATGTGTGGGAGAGTGTATGTGCATTGCTAACAATCCTTTTCTTTTCCAGATTTACTGTTCTCACTACCCTGATGTATCTGGATCAGTTACAACTTATTACTTAGCAAAGTTTCAGTTTAAATTTGTGTCCTCTCTCTCTCTCTCTCTCTCTCTCTCTCTCTCTCTCTCTCTCACACACACACACACACACACACACACACACACACACACACACATTCACTCAAAATAATCAGAATTCTTTTTGTTTTTGAGACTGAGTCTCACTCTGTTGCCCAGGCTGGAGTACAGTGAGCGCAATCTCAGCTCACTGCAACCTCCGCCTCCCAGGTTCAAGCAATTCTCCTGTCTCAACCTCTTGAGTAGCTGGAACTACAGGCACCTGCCACCGTGCCTGGCTAATTTTTGTATTTTTAGTAGAGACAAGGTTTCTCCACGTTGGCCAGCCTGGTCTCAATCTCCTGACCTCAGATGATCCACCTGCCTCAGCCTCCCAAAGTGCTAGGATTATAGGTATGAGCCACCATGCCTGGCCAGAATTCTTTTTTTTTCAACTACATATGTTTTTCTGAGTGAGGAAGAAAGAGAATTTACATCACAAGGCAAAAATTACTTGTCGTATTGCATGTATCCATGAGAACATATTACATATACTAGCACCGTTTTCCCTGTGTGCCAGGGGTGGGGCAGTTTAGTTGGAAAAGCTAAATTCTGCTCCACTTGGCTTGAAAACGTTCAGATGTTTTGTTTGTCTATGTGTTTGCTTTCTTGCTTACTCACCTGGGACATCTAATCTTTGGTCTGAATGGTATCCAGTGAATACACTCCTGTCCCTCCCCCCAGCCCTCACCCAAATCCAGTAAAGCAAGAGATCAGCAGGGCAGCCAGAGAGCCCACACCAGTGAGGCCAAGAAGGAAAACAGAGCTCAAGAGGGTCCACACAAATGTTTTCTTCCATATCCACTCCCCAAAGGCTTTTTTTTTTTTTTGAGACGAAGTTTCGCTCTTGTTGCCTAGGCTGGAATGCAATGGTGCAATCTTGCCTCACTGGAACCTCTGCCTCCCAGGTTCGAGCGATTCTCCTGCCTCAGCCTCCTGAGTAGCTAGGACTACAAGCATGTGCCACCATGCCCAGCTAATTTTGTATTTTTAGTAGAGACAGGGTTTCTCCATGTTGGTCAGGCTGGTCTGGAACTCACGACCTCAGGTGATTCACCTGCCTTGGCCTCCCAAGTTGCTGGGATTATAGGTGTGAGTCACTTCGCCCGGCCTGGCTTTTTTTTCTCAGTAAAACTCCCCCCAAAAAGAAAAACAAAGAAGGAAACACACACAAAAAAATCAATGTGGTATAGAAATTTCCATAGAAGAACTTTAATTGAACAGTAAGATTTAATATTTCACCAGGTGAAAAGAGGAATTGAAAATTAGTAGAAAAATTCCTAGGAGACCAGATAGCCAGAACAAGGAATGGGGTGCGGGGAACTTAGGGATGTATGTTCCCCTCAATATGAGTAGAGGAGCAGCGTCAGGAGCAGGGCGTTGGAGAGAGGCATAGAAGAGAATCACCTTCTCCCAGCCCAGGCAAGCTACCTGGTGTAACTTCAAGTTCAGGCCAGCTGACGCTCCGGCCGGCTCTTGGAGAGGAAAAGGTTTCCCATGCCCCCACCGCCTCCCTAGTTAATTCTCTCCAGGTGCTTCTCTTGCTGTGAACCCAGGGTGCTATTAGCAGGCTCCTTCTTGTTCTCTTGTTCAAATCCTTTCGAACCTTCGGAGCTCTGCTGTTTCTAATTTCTAACTCCATCTTGTTTCTTTGCCCCAGTACTGAATTCTGCCATAATCTTCAGATCAACTCTAGTCGTCTCCATTCTTTTCTAGATGCTAAAATCTTCCAGTCATCTTCTCTTCCACTCTCTGTCCACTCACGAGTCACCTGCATTTCTCACCCCAGTCGTCATCCTCATCTCCATGAACCATCCTCTCCAGGGCTTCCTGCCAGAAAAGTATTTTGCAAGTTTCACTTGAATTGCTACACAGTATAATTCTGAACATGTAAATAATATATAAAGCCAACCTATTTTTGGAGCTAAGAGTAGACAACAATCTCTTACACTACAGATCCATCCCAAATTGGTAATGCCCTAAAAAAAAAAAAAAAAAAAAAAAAAAAAAAAAAAGGTGCTTATGAAATACTCAAATCCCTTCAGTTAGTACAAAAACAACTGGTGACCTAAAAATTCAAGGAATGGCCCAGAGTGAAGGGAAATGTAATGTTGACTCTGGTTTACAGAAAGTGAGTCTGAGTCATGGCAGATCCTGAAATTTCACATGAACTCATTCTGCCTGTAAACGCCCCGGCATCAATAGTGAGCAAACGTGCATTCTGGCCAACCAGGCAGAAGCACTTTGTTTTCCATTGTGCGGTGACGCCAGATCCCCGTGGCTTCTGACAAAGGCCCTCGTCAAGCCTGTGTGTCATCGTTTGCGTTTGACACAGCTGCAGCGAGGTGCGCGCAGACCACTTCCCGACTGTGCATCCAGCGGCCACCCTGCGGCCACGGCAGGCAGGCTGGCTGGGTCCGCGCGGGGTGCAGCGCCACCTGCTGGACTTCCTGTGGTAAAGCAGCAACCTGGAGTGGCGGCGGAGTCCAGGAAGTCCTGTCCTTGCGGTTTGCTTTCAGACCATGGTCAGGCCTGACTGCAAGAACAAAAGCACTTGCAGAAATATGCACTCTTTATGCAAACCAGTCCTTAAGGAGGCTTGTGATCCCTTCCTCACTACAGAATGTGGTGTGGCATGTATGTGGGGGGAAGGGGGGTGCACCCATTTGTGGGGGGGGTTATAATGTGTATGCATGTGTGGGTGTCTGTACATGACCTCTCAAAGGTAGGAAAAGTGACATCTTCGTCATCCTCCTTGTTGGATTGGTAAGGAACTGTACAGTTGACAGAAACTTCTATAACGTGTTCCATTTATCTCCTCGTTACGCTGTACAAGTAGATAAAATGTTCTCGACCAAATGAATTTTTGCCAGTGCTCTGACTCTGTGGTAGAATTACCCATGACCTAACCACACTGGAGGCTGACAGCTAACTAATGATCTTTCCCTCTTTTCAAAAGACTTTGCCCATATGGGAATAAAGACTGTCATGATCCCCCAGCCAGGCAGGGCTGGCCCTGGGCTTGGAGGAGGCAATGAAGTAAGAGGCAGCCAGCTATGGGAAAAAGTCAACCGCTTCCACGAGGCCAACTGTGGGTGTCTCAGGAAACAGACAAGTCACAAGTCTAGGTTTTTACCAGATCCTCTGGCCCTTCAGAGACGTGCCCGCATGTCACACACGTGAAGCCACTTTCCCTGCCTAGGAGGTTACTGACTTAAACGCAGGGACATTTGTCAAAGCTGGAAGCCTGACAGACAAAAGCAAAGGTGTCTGATGAAGGGCCCTGCTGGCTGGTGATGTGGAATGTTTGCTGACAGTTCTAGAAACACCAGGGAGCCAGCAGATTGAGCTCTCTATATTTTCCTGGCTACCAAATAATAACAACTACAGTATCCTGAGGGCTTACTCATACCAGGCAGAAGGCTAAGCGCTTTACCTTTGTTTTTTGTTCGTGCAATCCTCAAAACTGCTCTATAAGCCATGCAGTATGATCAGCCCTGCTTTCCCGATGAGGAAACTGAGGCCCAGAGGGGTAAGTTCCCTGCCTAAGTTTTCGCAGTTCAGGAGAAAAGGGAGGGCTCAGGTCTCTGTGGCCCATCTCCTGATGCTGACCCTCCTGCTTCCCTGCCATTGGTGCCCTGCAAGGCCCTGACCTGTCCTCTATTTGTCTGCTAGGTTGAGGGCCACAGCAACACACCAGCCACAGGCCCACAGCACTCATTTTCATGAGAGCAGGGCTTGAGGAAAGAGCTTTCATTCCTGTTGTTTTGAGCCAGGACAACAGACTGGGAAATGGTTGGAACACACAGTTCTAGGTCAGAGGTCAGGGAGCAGAGAGGACTCCAAAGGCTAAACTAAACAAGGCTTCTCACAGCAGCTCGGGCCATGCTGAGACCCACGGGCTGGGGCTGGCCAACCTGCTCCCACATGGGATAGAAGAGTGTCCACAAGGGTGGCCTGGCCTGTTCCTGCCTAGAGCAGATGAGGAAAGCCCTGTCCTGGATTCAGCTCCCAGTTCTGCTACATTCCAGCTGAAGGCCTGTGGAACAGTCGTGAAGAGCCACACATGGCAATGTCCCCTCTCTGGAACCCGAGACGCCAGGGCTCCTCACTGTAAAGTGGCAATAACGCCAGCCAGCATGCAGAATTGTGGTGGGGTAATTAACAGGAGCTAATGTATGAGAAGGAGCTGTTACACTCCAGGACTCTAGATACCCAGTTTTATGGCTATCAGTTTCACAGCAAAAAAAAAAAAAAGAAGTATTTTTATTATTCTCATATTATTCTTATTAATTCTGGTGTGCACTTACATGAGAAACGGCAAAGGGATATTCTGCTTGCAGTCTTTTGCCCTGTGGCAGAAACTTTCCAGACAGGGTGTCATCTGTCATCCTGCACAGCTTCTGTGATGCAGTTTGATCCTGATAGATAATAAAAGTGACATGTTTTATCAAAATCTTCCTACATGGCTCAGGTTCACTTCCACTGACACCAGTGCTATTAATATTTCCCCCATTAAGCCAATCCATCCTAAAAGCCAAAGAGAATACCACAGTTACAGGTTTCAATTTAAAGGCTCTGATGGATGAGCGTAAGAAGGGAGTGATCACCGAAGCCCAGTCCTTCCTGCAGGAGCAGGGAAGCTAAGACCCGGGCCAGCACTGCCCACCCCCCCACCACCAAGGGTGCAGGGCAGCCATGTAGAAACTGGCACTTACTAGGCCAAGACAGCACAGGCCTCCAGCCTTCAGACAAAAGCCTTTTGTCTGGGAGGTGCTGAGGGACACCACACAATGCTGTTTCTTTCTAAATTATTTTTTCCCCTGAATGCTATCTAGATCCTGGAAAGCTATTTCCATGAACTGATTTTAAAATATCCTATATAAGTGAACACTTGTCATTGACATGAATGTCCAACATTAGGGGCTTGGTTAAGTATAAGATGGTGTATCCCATGATGTTTATGAGAGTTTATAAACGCAGAGAGGAAGGATGCAATAGCATACAGGAAGGCTTGTGTTAGGCTCACATATGAAAAATAAAAACAAGAAAAAAGAAGCTGCAGGCAGGAGTGTACTGGGGCTGACAAGCTGACAATATAAAAGATAAACGCTGAAACTATTTTGCAGGATACTGAAATGGTGAATACTGACCTGCATTCGTCAAAACCCACAGAACTGTGCAACACAGAGAATAAACTTAACGTCAATGATAGATTTTATTTAATAATAGTGTATGAATATTGGTTCACTAATTGTAGCAAACATAGGGCATGAATACCAGATGTTTGTTATAAGATGATAATAACAGAGGACACTGTGCTGAGGAAGGCAGAAGGAAACAGCTGTCCTGGTGGCTCAATTTTACTATAAACTTTAAACTGTCCTAAAAAATGAAGTCTATTAATTTTCGTAAAACTAAAAATAAATAAAGAGATAACCAGAAAGCAATATATCAAAATATAAATAGCACCGTTTTTGGATAACAAGATTATGACAAGTTGCTTTTTCATGTTTTACTTTTCTGATTTTCTGCATTCTAATTTTTTTGATCAGGTCAAAGCAGTGAAAGGTTTGAAAACCTTGTCTGGGCGACTATCCTCTGAGGCAGGAACTGTGCCGGCTCACAGTGCTCTTGGTCCAGTTCCCTAAACACAGCAGGACTCAGTAAGTTTTGCTAATAGAGCATAAGCACTTTAAATGCGTCTTCGGCCAGGCGCAGTGGCTCATGCCTGTAATCCCAGCACCTTGAGAGGCAGAGGTGGGCGGATCATGAGGTCAAGAGATGGAGACCATTCTGGCCAACATGGCGAAACTACGTCTCTACTAAAAATACAAAAATTAGCTTCACGTGGTGGCACGCACCTGCAGTCCCAGTTACTCAGGAGGCTGAAGCAGGAGAATCGCTTGAACCCAGGAGGTGGAGATTGCAGTAAGCTGAGCTCACGTCCCTGCACTCCAGCCTGGCGACAGAGCAAGACTTAAAAAAAAAAAAAAAAAAAAGTATTCAATTCTGTCTGCCTTGCAGCCTGCAAACTTGTCACCTCACAGCCTGACAGAGGGCAGCAAATTAAAGTAACAATTGTGAGAGGAACAGATCAGAGCATCTAACGAGCGATTGGTTAGGTCACCGTAAATTGAAAATCTCTCCTTAAGTGGATAGAGGGCTGCGTGAGCATCTTGAGAGGTATCTATTAAGTGGCATCAATGGATAGAGTGGCGGGTGCTGATATAAGACCAAACCCAATATATCATGTCATCAAGAAAGAAGCATGGGCAAGGCTTTGCCATGTAGAAATTGCAGCAGTGGGATTGGTTTAAGAATTGGGAACAATTATACCAAAAGAATTCTTAGCTGAGTGTCTGATTCTTGGTGAATCAGTCAACAAATAGTAACTGATATTTGAAAGCATTAGAGGGGTTTATTAGATCCTAGTTTTATAATTGTTTAGGAATAAAGCTCAAAGATAAAGCAATTCTTCATATTAAAATTATTTTACAATTTACAATCCTTCTCAACATTGATCTCGTTATCTGCCTTCATTTGTTCGCTTGGCTTGTAGCCTTGTATGACTGCAAACTCCACGAAGGCAGGGCCATGTCTTGGTTTTGTATCCCCTCCTCTTAACACTATGTCTGGCACACAGTTGGTTCTTACAGTGGATTAAAGGCTCTTGCCACAAATTTGTTGACGCCTTCCATCCAGAGGTGACATCTATGTATTTTATTTCCCCTTTTGAATCTGGGCTAACTTGTAACTGCTTTGACCAACTAAGTATGGTGGAAGTGACATTATGACACCACTGAGCCTAGGCTTAAGACAAACTTGGTCTCTTGGAGCCCTACGTTTCATATAGGAAGTCCAGCTACCCTGCTGATGAGTCCACGTGGAAAGGCCTGAGACCACATGGAGAGGGAGAAGAGCCCAATGAAGTCCAGCCTTCCAGCCATCCCCATCAAGAGATCAGATAAGTCGGCAAAGCTATTTTGACCTGAACAGATCAGATCAGCTCTTACTTGAATATCTCAAAGGACTCCAGGTGGCTCCACAGGGAGCAGAATCACCCAGCTAAGTCCTGTCTGAGTTCCTTACCCACAAAAGTCATCAGATATCATGAAATGATTGTTTCAGCCACTAAGCTGGGGTCGTTTGTTATGAAACAATAGATAACTAGAATAGCTCTTACTAAATGTTTGCTATGGATGGATAAAGGAATGGATGGATGGATGGATGGATGGATGAATAGATGGATGACTTAGAAGGGCCATTATCTTTCCTAGAGGAATAATGCTCAGAGAGAAAGCCAAAGGTCCTACAGTAAGCACTTGTCATTACTTCCTCCTCCCTTAGCATCTGAACCTCCTTCTTCTTTTGGAGAATATCCTGTCTTATTAAGTAAAGCTACTTCAAATTACAAAAGCAAAAATGCCATATATACCCTTCCACAGCCTTCCTTAAAGCTAAGGTACAGGACCCTGATGCAAGATCTTCAGTGAGACATTCCTGCCTCAAATTGTGAATCAGAAACTGGGGCAGGCTCCATTCCAGTGGGTGGTGGGCAGCAGCTGGAGTCTCAGCAACCCAAACCCTCCAGAAGCCCTGCAGCCACAGCCCCAGCAGCAGGGCCCGGTGTCTAGGTTCCTGGTATGAGCCCTCGGCTAGGTCCCATGTCCAGTGATATGAGCCAGAGCTACTGTGCCCAGCAGCAGTGGTGCCTTCACTGCATTGTGAATTCTTCCTACCTCCAAGCTTGTCGTCTCTCCCTCTCAGGGGTGGGGTAGTAGATTCCTTCTCTGCTGAAAGCTAGGAACCCTGGCTGATAGTACCAGATGTGGATTTCTCATTCTAGGATGCCAGGTTTTCCATGAATAGTTTTCAAACGGTGTCCTCAAGGTCCCAGGGTTCTGCAGAGGAAAAGCAAGAGAGTAAGAGAGCAGAACTCAGGACCCACATCCCCTATACTCCCAAACAAGCCAGCTTTTAGTTTAGTTTTGTTTTGTTTTTTCTGGAGACAGTCTTGCTCTGTCACCCAGGCTGGAGTGCAGTGATGCAATCTTGGCTCACTGCAACCTCTGCCTCCTGGGTTCAAGAGATTCTCCTGCTTCAGCCTCCCAGGTAGCTGGGATTACAGGTACCCACCACCACCACCCACTAATTTTTATATTTTTAGTAGATATGGGGCTTCACCATGTTGGCCCGGCTGGTCTTGACCTCCTGACCTCAGGTGATCCACCCACCTCGGCCTCCCAAAATGCTGGGATTACAAGCGTGAGCCATCACACCTGGCCACTTTTGTATTTTTAATACTATGATTTTCTATAAAATTTTATTTGGAAGAATAGTTCTCTTTCTAAACAGCAAGTTTGAAAATAACCATTTAAACACATAAAAACATAACCTATGAAATGGATTGTTTGGTGAAGCAAAGACAATTAACCAAGAGAAATGGTCACATAAACATCACAGTAAGCCCTTAAAAAAGATACTGTTTGTTCTAGACCAGTTATATCCAGGGGTTCCTCCTGGTTAAGGTTGGTTTTGATAGATGATTAAAACAGGACATTGAGGGGAGAGGTTGTGACAAAGACTGCTTGTCAATATACATCTAGGTCTAGTTACCTAGAAGGTGTAGAAATGGAACCCCAACCCTTCCTTTTGAAGTTTAATGTTATTAGAACGTCTCAATGGGTAGTAGCAGGGCCCTGCATGGCCAGCAGACTGGCAGTCACACCAGGGTAAAGGCCCATGAGGGATGATGAAATCCAGACCAATGACAGGCTCAACCCCCAAGGACATAACCTTCTCAAGGTGGGCTTGTCCCAGCATGCATCAGGCTACAAAAATCTCCTGTCCTAAGCACCTTGAACTTTGGGGATCCCTTTGGGGCAATGGCTCTGTGTGTGCGTTCGTGTATGTGTACATGCACACAGTGTGCCTGTGCAAACATAGAGATGCTAATGGTAACACCAGCACCTTCACCTGTGGTGGTGAGAATGACCCCGGCTGAGGTTGGTGAGAAGGGTCATCTTTTGCTGCCCCTCAACTGTGAGCAAAGACTGCTGGCCAATCACTGAGCCTTAGGACTACGAGCACCTCTAATTTTCAACCACCACAGCAGGGAGCAGGGACTGCCATCAACCCACAGCACACCTTGCAAGGCAGTGAAAGCCCCAGAGCAGCACAGATGGGGCTTCCTGAGCCAGGTGGCCGTTGGGTTCCTTAGACTCAGCACAAGGGTTGAGGAGATTCCAGCAGAGGCAAGAAGGACATTCTCTTGACAGTAATACGAGAACTCAAGCTATTTTATTTGAATATGTTTTAAAGCATGGCTTTACTTTATGCTCCAAGCTGGAGAGTTAGGAAATGTGTTCTATACATTGTCCTAGGATTGGAAGAAACCTTGGGGGACACAGACAATGAATGCTGTACACTTAGAGCAGTGGTTCTTAACCAGGGGGTGATTTTGATAATGCCTGGAGACATTTTCAATGGTCAAAATGGAGGCGGGGGTCTTACTGACATACAGTGGGTAGAAGTCAGGTGTGCTGCTAAGCCCTTCCACGCACAGCTCAGCTCCTCACAATAAAGAATTATCTGGCTCAAAAATTAATCTGAGGTTGAGAACCCTGACTTAGTGCAAGAGAGATCACTTCCAGCTGGTTAAAAACTAAACCAAGGAAAAAGATGAGAAATGTATAAGACACCATGTCACGGAGATATGTTCTCTGGATTTGAAATGTGTAAGAATCCACAGACTTTTATTGGAGGGGCCAGTGGTGAGGTTCTGCTGTGGATCACATGCTATCAGGTGTGTATATAATATCTCAAGTTTATTTTAAGTCCCTAGTCTACTCTAATATTGCTTTGGGTGGTATGTATTGTTGTCTTGTGCAATTTGGGTCTTTCTTTTAATGAAATTTTCCTCCTCAAGTATTGACTTCTGTGCTGTGAGCTCCTGTTGAAAGGGGGCATTGGCTGCTCTGGCACTCTGCATCAGGGAAGGAGTACAAGGAAGGGAAGGTAGTGGGCTCCAACCACTAGAACCATCATTCCTAGTCCCATTTGCTAACATTCCCATTTGCAAGTCTAGTTAGGATTTACCTTTAGCTTTAGGAAGAAGAGCAATAGGGATAAGTGGTTTGTTGTCAGTTTCTAGAATCCATGCTTCCTTCTTGCTTCCATAGCTTCTTCAACATTGCTTTGCAGGAAGGAGATACAGCCACACCAGTTGGACAATTAGCAGGAAGTGGAAATAAATGATTAATTTCACCTAGAGGGCCGATTAGAAGAGGAATAACTCATATGTGAAACAGAGCTGGGTCCCAGCTTGTCTTGGCCTGGACTGTTGGCTCTCTCTAAGTGGTCCCACTATTACCTTCTTCATGCAGCCTCTGATAATCCTACCCTTGACCTCCAGAAGCTGATGCTCCAACCATGAGGTAGGGGAATCTAGAGTTCCTGACCTCAGTGATCCCATTCATTTCTGTGTTTAAAGTTTCTGAGAAACCTGAAGGCTGACTCAAAACTGCCTGAGATATTTCTTCATTGCTCAGTTCAAACACAAGCCACGATTGCCTAGGCAAGTAGGAAGGGAAGGTAGAGGTCAGCTGTGAGCTGGACCTCACCGAGGAAAGCCTGGCTTGCCTGCTGCCACTGTAACAATGACTGGCCAGAGAGGCACGGACAGAACCCAAGAGCTTCGTGTTGTTCAGAACAGCAGGTCTGGGAAACAATACGACCTTGCTCAGTGATTGCCTACAGAGAAGTGTCCTCAATATCTCCTTCCTCAGAGAAACAAAGCCATTTCCTTGACAACAAAAGCCCATACTTGTATATTGTGCTAAAAATTTACAGCGCAAAGCCAAGGCTGAGTGCATGTGTGCACATGTGTGCTCATATGCTGAGCTTTCGAAACAGACCTTGCTGATGCCCGTCTGCCAACAAACTACCTCTTAACCCTGTTTCCTTAAAAAGCTCAGAGTTATAATTTTCAAAATTCTTAAGTTCAGCCAGGCGCCGTGACTCACACCTGTAATCCCAGCACTTTGGAAGGCCAAGGCAGGTGAATCACCTGAGGTCAGGAGTTCAAAACCAGCCTGGCTATTATGGTGAAACCCCGTCTATACAAAAATACAAAAATTAGCCAGGTGTGGTGGCAGATACCTGTAATCCCAGCTACTTGGGAGGCCAAGGGAGGAGAATCACTTGAACCCAGGAGGTGGAGGGGTAGTTATCCAATATTAAGCCACTGCACTCCAGCCTGGGTGACAGAGCAAGACTCTGTCTGAAAAAAAAAAAAAAAAAAAAAAAAGTTCTTACATTGAAGTTAAAGAGAATCAGAATAGTCTTTATTCAAGCTAAAAGTTTTTGTTTTATTCAAAATTAAAAACTCTCAATTTCTTAACTTCAAAGTCTCCAACTCTGAACTTAGACCTGAATATGCCAGCCTTCTTCCCACTGGAGAAGCTCAAAATCTTCCCAGCCATTTCCCTAGATGCCAGATGAAGTATTCCTGAACACACATCATTACTTAAAACTTGGGTTAAAAACATTCTATTTTTGAGATTTATATATGATCATTTATGTATGCTTTTATAGAGATATAATTAAAACATTTCAGTGACACATTGTTCTTCTAATACACACAAAATACTGATGAGTTAATAAATCACAAGGGCTATCACATATTATGCTTACCATGTGTTCAGCACTGTTCTAAGTGAGTTTTACATATACTAATATACTTGGACCTATCAACAAATAAAACAAAGACCAGAGTTAATAAACAAAAAAAAGGATGGGTAGATGGATGAATGGATGGATGGGTGGTAGGTGGTAGGTAATAATAGACTAGAACAATAGATAAAAATTTAAAGTTGAGGCTAGGCATGATGGCTCACGCCTGTAATGCCAGCACTTTGGGAGGCCAAGGCAGGTGAATCACTTGAGGTCAGGAGTTCAAGACCAGCCTGGTCAACATGGTAAAACTGTCTCTACTAAAAATGCAAAAATTAGCTGGGCGTGGTGGCACATACCTGTAATCCCAGCTACTTGGGAGGCTGAGGCAGGAGAATCACTTGAACCCAGGAGACAGAGGTTGTAGTGCGCCAAGATGGAGCTACTGCACTCCAGCCTGGCGACAGAGCAAGACTATCACAAAATAAAGTAAAAGCTGAGTCTGTTGACTTGCTAGCCACAGGAATACAGGCTAGGGAGAAATGTACTGAGTTAAGTGGTAGCTCACTGAGAGGGAGAACTCAGAGTTGTTAAAGGCTTGCCAGGGTTGGTTCATGTGGTTATTGCTTATTAAGGGTTGAAATCCAGTACTTTGAAAAGAACAGAATGAATCTGAAGGTCTAAATAGAGTTGGTTAAAAGAAACACCATTGCTCAGTGTTTGGGAAAAAGTCTTCAGTTAGGACCTAGTATCCCACAGGCATTCCAAGTTCATGGTTATTTATTTAGCTTCTGCTGGTCTGGAGTCAGCCTGGAGAAACACAATAGTCAGTTATGATCTGTCCTTGAAAAACGCTCCTGTAAGCAGAACATGTTCTTTTCCATTCCTCACAACAACTTTTTAAGGGGGTGCAATTATTGTCGTCCTCATTTCCCAGAGCTGGAGACTAAGGCACTGAGGTGTTATTTGCCCAAGGTCAAGCTAGAATTCAATCCTGGGAAGTCAGAGCCCACACTCTTAAACCCTCTTCTCAGCCAGCAAGCACGGCACAGATTCGGAACCAATTGCTGATGTGTATGTTGCCTATTTAAAATAATTTGTTATTAAAATTATACTTATAAAGTTGTTTATAATTTCAGCTAAATTAAATGAACAAATACTAATTCAAAGAGTACTCTGTATGATAAGTACTATGACTATACACTAGGTTTAACTTGAGATCTGACTTTAACCTTTGCAAACTGCTTTGTAAATGTTGGGCTATTTCATGAAAAAAATAGGAATATTTGCCTTTTTTTTTACATCTGTTGTCACAGGAACCAAGTCTATCTCCACAATCACACACATTATACTAATACCATTCTAAAGGAGTGAGTCTTTTAAAAGGCCCCCTGTTAAAGACTTTCTCATTCTCACTACCCACCCCCACTCACCCTAGTCTTACCTTCTACATCACTTTAAAACTTTTCTCATCAGAAATTAGAGGAATATTTTCTAATAGAAAATGAATTGCACTTGTTTGCCCATCTATCCCTCTCCTTGTATCTGCAAACCATTCAAAGACCATCACCTTGAGCTCTTTCAAGGGAAAACCATCTCCCAGAGTTTGAAAGGCACAGTGATGTACTGCAAAATCTGTGACCAGCGTCTTCTTACTTTTGGAGAGATTTAGTTTGGGGAAATAGAAGATATCTGATAAATCTGATAATTAAGAAAGTTGGCTGAGCTGTGTAATGCAGTTTTATTGTTCCAAACAAGTAGGACCCAAAGTAAAGCAATATGATTTTCATGTCACCAGTATTAACTAACACAAAGGCCATTTTAAAAGAGAAATCATGGTCAGGCACAGTGGCTCACATCTGTAATCCCAGCACTTTGGGAGGTCAAGGTGGGGGGGATCACCTTAGGCCAGGAGTTCAAGACCAGCCATGAATTAACATGGCTAACATGGTGAAACCCTGTTTCTACTAAAAATACAAAAAATTAGCCAGGCATGGTGGTATGTGCCTGTAATCCCAGTTACTAGGGAGGCTGAGGCAGGAGAATCGCTTGAACCCAGGAGGTGGAAGTTGCAGTGAGCCGAGATCTCATCACTGCACTCCAGCCTGGGCAACAAGAGCAAAACCCTGTCTCAAAAAAAAAAAAAAAAAGAGAAGTCCCCAAATTGTCTTGGTCAGTGGTGGTTCTATTGACGTAAAATTACTGCCTCTGAAGATGACTCCTTTAGTGGTGATTTTTTTAAACGTTTTAGTAAGTTTGTAGGAAAGCTCAGTATGACCACAGCATAAGCTGTATCTCATATGTACATCAAATTCAAATGTATAGACAACTGCATGGCTTCCCTTGTTGACAGCTCTAAATGTTTAAAGGTAATAGAGGTGGCAGAATAATATTTTACTAGAAGAAAGAGTTCCATGGCTAAGGAAATTTTCGGTACAGGACTAGTGTATCCTTGAGACTTTTCACAACACAAGGATTCTAAGATTCAATATTCTAAAAGATCTATGGCAAACTGAATTATTTTCAGAAGTGAGTTTCCACTGAACTAGACACATTTTTTTCTCTTAATTCCTCCTGTAAATGGTAGCAATCATTTATAGGCTAGTATTAAGCATCTTATCACTGAGAACTCTATAATATTTAGTCTTCCTTATGGTGACACTGATATATTTGGGATAATTAGCAAAAGACTAAACATTATGTTCAGTATGGTTTTTGCTTTAAAGTGTATTTTAAATGAGTTTCTTTTTGGAGAAAGGGAATCCCTGAAAGCGATTTAATTCACTATTAATATTTATCCATTTACATTTCATTGGAAAATCACTCATTCATCGCACGCACTGTTCTTCACTGCCACTAGGTGGTGCTCCAGCCATAATGTCGCTTCCTGAGCCTCCAGAACCTGTACGCTGCATACTGTCCTAGGGCAGGTCCCACTGAACGTGGCTGGTCTTGCAAAAACCACAGCCAGTGTGAGGTATGTTTCTAAGCTCCCTAAAGTTTACACAGAACCCCAGAGTGAGGCTGATAGTAGAAAAGCCTACTATACTGGAAAGCAGAACTCAACCCACAGTGGAAAGAAAATAACTAAGGCAGGTGGGGTAGTAGAGACAGACCCAGGATTTTCCCCCAATGGTGTCTTCAGTAGTAACCCAACCACCTACTGCAGGGGCTGGCCTAGTAATGCTGAAAGATGAGTCTACGCAGACACCTTCCATGGCCTTCCAAATACCACAGTTTGGCCAACATGAGCACCAGGAAAAAAAGATCTGAGAGAAGGACCAAGTATGGGGACCTTTGGTCTGTGTCTGCCCAGCTGTGCCTGGTACCCATGTTTCATATCTATCCAGATAGTATTTGCTCTGGGCTAGCAGCTCAGCATTTGCCAGCAGACGTGATTTGCCCCAGGAGGGCAGACCTTCCCCTGGGGTGTGAACAAAATTTATCTCCCTATTTCCCGGAGTTCTTTCAGTTACATCTGTAACTTACTAGTCAGTTCTGAGTCACTTTCCAAAAAAAACGCATAGAGGTACAAGCTTCAAAGAAAGACAATCTCCATACGTGGTTCAGTTTACAAATATGGACAGTACATGTGCATAGTCACAAATGCCAAGTGGCACAGAAAAAGAAGCAATCTGCATGAGCCAGAATATTTAAAAGGCTTCACAGAAAATGTGGTACTTAAAAACAGGACTGCAATGTTTGGAGCTGGAAAACATCTTGGCAAACATCTGGTCTGAGGCTCTGAAATAGTTCATCTGAGTTTTTTGGTTTTTTTTAGATGAAGTCTTGCTCTGTCACCCAGGCTGGAGTGTAGTGGTGCAATGTCGGCCCACTGCAACCTCCACCTCCTGGGTTCAAGAGATTCTCCTGACTCAGCTTCCTGAGTAGCTGGGACTACAGGTGCCCGCCACCATGCCTGGCTAATTTTTGTATTTTTAGGAGAGACTGGGTTTCACCAAGTTGGCCAGGCTGACTCAAACTCCTGACCTCTGGTCATCCGCCTGCCTTGGGCTCCCAAAGTGCTGGGATTACAGGCATGAGCCACTGCGCCCAGCCGTTCATCTGAGTCTTAACGGCTCATAAAGTTATCTCAAGAGCCATGCTTGAAGCCAACCAAGGAGGCTTCCGGGTCTCACTCACATTTCAACAGCTCCAGTTTTATCTGTTTACTTTATGGGGTTTCTCTTTAAGCTCTGTTTGAACAAAGAATCTTACTCCTTCTTTTTATGTTGGAACCACTGATCCAGTCGATGCTGCTCATTTTACAGATAAGATCACCGAAGCACTTTGGGGACTTTCCCAAGCTCACACATGCCTTGAACTGAAAAGGTAGGGAGCATTTTGGATATGTTGGACAAGGGTGATATGG